TATCAAAGTGTTTGCCTACTTCTCTTCTTATACTTAACCTTATATTCATCATTTACTAAGAAGAAAATATCTCACTTGTAAACTCAATTTAAATTGTGTCGTGTGTTGATGTCCCGAAAAGCTCAACGTTGTAAAAGGATCGGTGCTCTTTGGTTGTAAGTCACCAGAAGCGTTGTAAAGGGTTTGATTACACCACAAGTCAATCAACATAGTGATAAAGGTCTTGCTCGTGCCGGAGAGCTTGGTAACCGGGGACGTAGATCATTGCATTGGATCGAACCTCCACAACTATATTGTTTGCACTCTCTATCCATTTTACTTAACGCTCTTACTTTGTGCAAATTACATTGATTCACTTATTTGCTTACTTGTCGTTAATTGTCTTCGTTTATTTCTCACTAATTATATTAAAACTTGTATTATTGACGAAAAAGTTTTAATAACCAATTCACCCCCCCCCCTCTCCCACCCCCTCTCCCCTCTTGGTTAGCCAATCTTGGGCTTTCAATCTGGAGGTTGTTTTTACATGGGTAATGATCTTATGTCTTGGCTAGGTAAGAAAGAAAACTATATTTATTTTTCTACTACAAAAGCTGAGTACATTGTTGTCGATAGTTGTTGGACACAACTACTCTGGATGAAGCGAGTGCTGAGTGACTATGGTATTGAACAAGATTCTTTTACCAAGTTTTTTGATAATTCTAGTGCTAAGAATATCTCTAAGAATCTTGTTTAGCATTCTAGGATTAAGCATATTGACATTAGACGTGACTTCATCTACTACAGGGAAAATTTTAAATGATGACTAGTTTGAAATACGCTTCTGTATATAGTTACTGCATGTGTCAATTTTGGTTATCACATGGTTCAATATTGATAAGTCTAGGTGGTCCTATCATACGCTCACTTCTTAATCTAAGTCTAGGTGGTCCTATCATACGCTCACTTCTTAATCTAAGAAACTAATTGAATTAATTGTGAGCAGACATTTGAATGAAAATTTCATGACTATTTTGATAATGGTGATCTGAATATTAAAATGATTTGATTGTAAAATTTGTCCAAAAATATGATGATTGATTCAATTTTGTATATTTCACTATTTTGTGCAATTGACTTGTGTGGGCTCTTTTCGCAGACCTTTTTTTATTGATAGTCTAAACTTTATAGTAAACTCTCGTATCCACTACAAAAAGCAAAAAATGATTAAAAATATTAAGAAACAAAATCTAGGTCGAATATGAGGAGTTATTTTAGCCTTATTTGGTGTTAAAAATTGAAAAAATTGCTCATTGTATTTGATATAGAATTTTTGTAGTTTTAAGTTATTTTTGCGGGTTAGAAATGGTAGGTGTACGTAAGGGAGAGAATGATTACTTGAAGAACCAGCCAGTCAGGGGCGGACGCAAAACTTTAACGTTGGGGGGCACAATCGAACTTACAAAGAAGTTGATAGAAATTTTTAAATAAAAAATTTACGGTAAAAAAAAAAATAAAAAATCATACTCCATGTAATTTTACATCCAAAAATTTACATACAATATGACTTTTTCGGATGTAAAATTTCCTAATAAAATGATGAAAATTACATTGAGAAATTTGTATCGCAAAAATAATAAATGTTAATGAAATAATTAAATTTTTTTTTAAAAAAATGCTAGTTAGACGTCTTTTTAAAGGTTTACGTTTAACGTATTTTTAACTATTTTCGATATATGTTTGAACTATTCGATATGTCCATAATATAATTTTTGAAATAAGCTTCGAAATGAGACAAACAATTTGTAGATTCGATTAGCGTACGATCGTCGGAGAATTTTTAAAATTTGTATATTTCGAAATTCAAATTATTTTTATTTTACCCCTGTTTGGTGGAGATTAAAATCAAATTTTTAGTAAATTTTGGTACGAATTAAACAATAATGAATTCCATGAAATATGTTATTAAAATTAATTGTTAACTTTGTTTTAGATTAAAATTTAAATTTCAATCGATAACAAATGTAATTTTAAAAAAAAAAAAAATCTCAAAAGTTGGGGGCAGACCCCCCTTGGGTCCGCCCATGCAGCCAGTTCCACTCTTACAGCGCCGAAGGGACAAGATTGTGACTTCCTATCAAGTTAAACTAAAGCAACTGTTGATATTGTTGTTGCTCCTGCTAAGAAGTTCAAGAAATTTGCCTCTTGACTGATTCTAACTATTTGTCCTAACTTTTTTAGTCTAACTATGGTTGTTCCTTAATTTCAGAAAAGGTAAAGTTATAAAATTAATTAATTTATGGTGGTTGGTGATGGAAACATAAAGACTTTGGTAGAGTATGTGTGTGATTGTTATGTCACTCATGTTTTTCACTCCATCCTTGGTATGTTGGGGTGTTTGAGTAAGGAAAAGTATGTGTTTGGGTGATGGGATGTATATAACTATCTTTCAACTGGATACTAACTGAGGGGGAGTAGACCATGTGGATTATTTGATCACATTTATCACTCACACGTCATTAAAAATCGAGCATTAGTTTTTGAAATTAAGGAAAGTCAAAGGGAGAGATCGTTGAAAAATATGACAAATTTTACTCATTGACTTGCTTACTATTTCTATTGATTTTTAACATTCAAATTAATTGTCAAACATTGGAAGATCAATTGTAGAAATCGTGAAAAAGGTATAATGTTTTTTGGCAATAGTCAATCCTGATTGACTAGGATAAGAGATTCGACTAGAAATTCTGAGCTACGAATTTTATTATTTTTCTTTATATAACATGATTTGATCTCTTGTTATACATATACAACTCATTCAAAATTGACTTTATACTATCATATATATTTTTAGATTTGTTTAGAAGGAAAACATAAGGATTTGTTAATTAAAGTTGTCTTTCCTTATATTAGACTTCTAACAAATCTAGAATATCTTTTGGCATATCTTTCATGATAAGATTGGACTTGTAATGTAGGATATTTTTGGAATATCTTTTATGATAAGATTGAACTTCTACAAATTTAGGACATCTTTTGTTATAATTGCATATATTTTATGATACGTTTACGTTGTTATTACAAATTGTCACGATAATATTTTATTTTTATTTTTGAAAATTATTTTACCTATAAATAAAGTAGTTCATTAAGAGAAGAATTAAGCTTTGAAAACACTATCTCGCCAGGTGACCTAGCGTGAGCTTATCTATCATTTTCGAAGAAGTTCATATGGACTCATGCTTTATTGACAACTTTCAAAGCCAACCGTTCTCTTCAGTGTATTTGGAGAAAACAAAATAACGTGCATTGATGTGCAACCCTATTTATTGATCAAATTGCTTGGTGTGTGTTAAGAATGGTGATTTTCAATCCAAGTGCTGGTTGCAGCCAAGTATGATAGTTTTGTGTTAATAACGTCAAGACCGAAAGATTTGATTTCACTTCATCAACAAGTCAAAAGAAGAAGATACAAGAGAATTTTTCTTAGATTTCTTTTGATTGTTTTTTGTTAATTTTGGGAAACTACAAAATCAAATACTAATGTATTTTTTATCAATTAATTAGTGGGTTGTTTTACTTGTGGCATGGTGGCTGTAGTTGTTTCCCTATGACTGTAGATGTTTCCCTTCGGAATTTATCACATTATATATGATGTTTTGATTTTAATTTTTCAATTAATTTCCGCACTCAATTGCACAAATACACGACATCCTACATATACCAGAACTGTTAGAAATTGAGTGTAGGAAGTTCAATTGACTGACGCCAGAACTATACCGGTCAAAAAAAAAAAAAAAAAAAAAATTCTTTTCTAGGTTTTAAAATTTACATAGATGAAATGGATGACGAAATTGGTGATTACCAATGTTTTCAATATGGATGATATGTTCATAACACTAGGTCATTCATGGCGTGACATGGTGACAAATTTACATCATTTGTGAAAATATTTTATGCATTCATTTAATACAAATTCAAGAATTGAATGATCATTTTTCTAAGATAGGTAGTGGCTTAATCCTTTGTGTTTCGTGTTTGTATTCAAATATTCATTTTATTGCTTTTGACAAGATCAAAGAGACATTGATCTTAATTTTTTTCGTGGCTACTAATATAGTCAAGAGAGCATTTTCTGTGATGATTTATGTCAAAAATCGTTTCCACAATCGAATCGGAGATCAGTGGTTGAATGATAATTTGATTCCAAATATTGAAAATGATGTTTTGACAATTGAAAATGATGGAATTATGGAATGTTGTTAAAGTATGTCAACGTTTAAAGAATAATTATAATAAGATATCGAATATTTTAAATTTTTCACAACTTTTTTTCAAATTCGATTGTGCCCCATTAACTCAAAATATTCACGTCCGTCACCTAAGGTAGGGGTGGGATGAGCAAGATAAATAGTTGTTTTTATTTATTTTATGATTTTTTTTTTTTTTTGTATTCTAATTAAGATTAATCAAATAACTATTTTATCCTTTTTAGTTTTTAATGATCAAAAGGGTTGACTATCGAAGATTTGATCGGAACCCATTCAATTTGATGTTTGCCACTAATTTATCAAAGATTGGAATTGTCTGAAAAAATTAGGGACAAAATGTAGAAGGTTGGGAATGTTGGCAATTCACCCTAACCAAAATTATTAGTTTCCTATCTACACTGCCCCAATGTGGCAGGTGCAAGACAAAACTTCTTTCGAAAAGCAAAGAATTTTTGATAAAAACATGCCTAAAGATCAAACTCACGAGCTGCATAGTAGGTGTTTCACTGCGTGCAAATTCACATATTAATGACCCATTCACTGGATCCCATTTTCTGCCCCCAAATAATCTGTATCTTAATTTGTCCACTTCCCAAAATGGCGAAACTACAGAAAATGCTACATCAATTGTGCATCGTGTTATTACTATCCCTACTTTTCTTGCAGACCCGTATGAAATTTTGTGATGGGCTGTCAATTTCTGAGGTGAATTTACTGAAAACTAATGAATTGGATGCTATGGTGAAAAGGGTTTGTGGAAGAAAGATCAGTGATTGCTTAAAAAGGGCAGATGAAGAGGATCAGATGGATTCTGAGAGTAATAGAAGGGTTTTGGCGTTTCATAGAAGGTATATAAGTTATGATACTTTGAAGAGGGATACTGTGCCATGTTCAAGGCCTGGGGTTTCATATTATAACTGTAAGGGTGTGGCCAATTCTTATAGCAGAGGTTGTGAGCTCATTACCAGGTGTGCGAGGGGAGATTAGTTGCTTCAAGTCTTGGGTTTTGACATTGGAAAGTGCTGTTGTAGGAGAATGCAATGGTTTGGTAAATTATAACTTCGTTGCTTTGGATTAAATGTTTACAGTTTTGTGTTTTGTGGCTATCTTTGGATAAGTTTCCGAGATGCGTTTATCCTATTCTGATATAAAATTGTAAGTTGTGTTTCACTTAATTAGCAGAAGATCTAGGATTTCTTGAAGAACGTGGAAGATTAGTTATTGCCTTTTTGTATTTCTAAGATGCTGTAGTTATACATGGTATTTTACCAGATAATCTCGATAATTCAAGTCTAAAGGTGCATGTCTGCACGTGAGGGGCTTCGTCTCTAATAGTTTAAGCTTTTAGAGGATAGGTGCAATGTTATATGATACTGTTCTGCACATGTTGCATGTACAGTGTACCTGCTTTTCTTTATTGGTTTGAGTTAAATGTTTAGTGGTTTTGTAGATAGGTAAGAACTAATACATATTGTTCCAGCCGCTTTTAGTTAAAATTGGTGATGCTCCCTTATGAAAAACGGAAGAAAGTAGAATCAAAACTGGCAAAACACTTGAAATATCAAAAATCGAAGAAAAGCAAAGAACTATAGTAATTGGAAGGACTTAAACACAATGATATTTAATGCAGCCAAGTGCAGTCCAAAAAGTCTACTTGTCCATGAGCCACAGACACTTCATGGTCGGCATGCAGCACACACCTAAGTCTGGCTTAGCATTTCCCCGTTAGAGACCTTACACTCTGTTAGTTTGTTCAGTCCGGCCGTAAGATCTAAATAATCCCTGAAGACAAATCTGGATATGATTTGCTATACGGATATGGTCTCACATCTCGATTTAATCCCAATGTCAATTTGCTGAATATATTGCCTAGAGCAAAAAAACTGGAGAAATGTCGAGAAATTGCTATATTACTTACTATCTTTAGCTGTGACGCCCTGTCAACTACCCTTAAACAAAACATTTGATAACAGTTCTATATCTATTGGAAGAGTAATTGATAAAATTTGAAGAAGTTTCCTCTGCAGAAACACTGGTGAGTCTAGAAACTCAAGCCTTATAGAGCATGTTATCTCATTGTTAAATTGGTTCATTCTGAAGTTTCAAATTCCGGTTACATTATTCATTATTTGTTTAAATGAAGCCAATTTAGTCATCAGTAACACGAAATGAATGAGATCATTATGGCAAAGACAGACTATCAAAGATAATGAGGACCTTCTTCAGACACATGAGCTCTTTTGATAGGAATACAGTAATGTCCTTAAATCTCCTATTGTGATTTTGGCTCCTATTATCATTGTCCATATTTCTTAATTCTGCCACATTGTAGTTAACAGGTTATGTTCTTCTACTTCATCTATTTGAATACTTTTAGAAGAAAAAGAGCAGCAATGGTTCATTTTAAAGCATATTATTGTATAAATTTGGTAATTAATTATGCTTGTTTGTGGAAAAACTTCTTATTTTTTCATGATTCAGCTGCAGAAGCACAAGATAGACCCGAGATAGTAATGCAGAAGCTGATTCTCCTCAGGCTTATGATGTTGCCTTTAGTAACTGAAGATAGTAGGAGCAAGTAGTGAATTTTTTTCTTATTCATCAATTAGTTAATTCTTGGTTATCCTATAGGCTTAATCCGCATGCAATTTTAACTTGCTGATAGTTGATGCAACTCGTTAAATGGACTGGTTGGCAGCAGTAGCAAAAATTTGGGTAAAAATAGCATTTGAGCCGATTTTTGTGCTTAAAGAAGGTTCCGGACAACAATAATCCTGTGTCTTTTGTGTGTGTAGTGCAAGACATACCGTGAAATTCACTTGCAGGGGTTTAGCCAATAAATCTTCCAGTGAGTAAGTTGCTGGAGAAAAAGCTGCCCTGTAGAGGTGGTCATTGTCAGTTTCGAAGAGAACCGAAAGAACAGATATATTGAATAGGTAAATACGAATGAATGGGTAAACAAGCTCAAGACCCTTTTATGCTAGGCTAGAAAATACTATAAGCACAAGAGTTCGTAGACAAGAAGGGCAAACTGCCCAATAATATTTCAAGTTGGCAAAAATCATTATTAAATCACACCTGGGTTCACGTTGGCAGAAATTGTCATTAAAGCTGTCAAATATACATAATAATATTCAATAAGACTCGATGTTCCTCTATGTGAGCAGCTCTCTCA